TACAAAAACATTTATATCCTTTTTCAAAAGTTGTACTATGCTAGGTTTATATCACAATTCTCATAACCATGCCCTTCACAATAGAAATTAGGGGGAAATCTCAAACCAATACAACATTTCACGAACATTTCGTCCGTAGAAAATTGTCAAACGGCATCTATGTAAACGTAGCCCATATAGGCGCTACTATTTCCATTTTACAGATATTTCGTTTGCAGGAACCAACATCCATGTATACGCGCGTTTTTCAGGACTTTTACCCTAGACACACAGACCAACTTGATTTGGTAATACACACATCTTTCCAACGTTCACCTTTTTTTCTCAATATTATATACATTTTTAATGTAATAAATAAGCAACAATGTTCAATGCACATAGATGAAAAATTAGTTTTAGTTCACCTAATTCTCATGCAATTTCTACAACATTCATAACTATCCTCCACCGATAGCCCGAAAAAGATATCTCTAAATAGATAAATAAATTTCATTAAAGATACATTTTTCTACAATCTCAAAATGGGAGTGATAATACATATCCAATTCCACCTTCATTATTATCATTTCAATTTCACAATTTCCATATCAATTCCATTTTCTCTTTACAATCTCAAACATTCACATTTTTTGGCAAAAACCCTTTCTTTTTGAAAATCAATTTTATTGTAGAAAATACCTCATTTTAACATATATCAATCCCAATTTCATACCCATAAGTTTTTCCAAGAGACCATTTGAAACCCCTCTTTATCATTTTGATTTCAAACCCTAGGTTTTACCAAAAATAACCCAAACCACTATAATCCATTGAAATAGCAAATAACTAAGATAAAATTTATACAAGAGTGTGGAGATCTACCTTTTTCTCAAAGGGAATAGGGTAGAGAAATCAATGGACCTAGATGTTTTAGAAGAGAAAATGTGAGTTTTAGAGAGAGAGAGAGAGTAGATCTAGGGTTTTTAGAAAGTTTAGAGAGAGTAAAATGAAAAAGTGATATAAAAAGTGACATTTACAGACTGATGTACACGCAGTTCGCTCGAACGCAAGAAGTGACGCTCGCGCGTAAGACACAAAAGATGTGACCACTCGAATATAAGAAGTTGACGCTCGAGCGTGAAATACAAACTCCCAATACTTTTACAGACAGAAGACTAACGCTCAAGTGTAATAAGGGCCGCTCGAGCCAAGACTGCTCAAGCCAAGACCACTCGAGCGCAAGAAGTTTCGCTCGAGTATAGAATATCACTTCCTTGCAAAAGTACTCAGAGTCCACAAAGACTGCTTCAACATAAGAAGTGACGCTCGAGCGTAAGAGCAAAATTCTGGACAACAAAAGTTTGAAAATCAAGTTACCAACCTATTCTAAACGCAACCAATACAACCCAATAGCCCAACTCAAGGAGAAATAGTGAAAACAAGGAAAAAAAACAACCATATAAGGAGAAAAAACCTGAATCCAAAAGTCAAACGGGCCGGATTTAAGTAAAAAAGCGCTATATTTTTGGTAATAAGTAGCCTACTAACCCCTAGAAAAATATAGTAATAATAAAAAAATAAAACAAAACAAAACAAAACAGAAGTAAGACAGTAAAAGTTGGTAAACCTTTATGTGATGGAATCTTGGTTATTTGAAAGCTCCTATGAGAAAAGGCCAATACCACAACAGATTAACAAAACAAACCCTCGCGGGGGGAGGGGGGTGTGGTGTCCTTTAATTGCATTTATATTTGTATGATAATTGCATTTATATTTTTGAAAAAGAAAATTAAAATATATATATAATTAGGAAAAAGATTGGTAGCTCGAGAAATTGGCTCGAAAAATGGTTCGAAAGAGAAGAGAGGGGAAGAGGAGGAGAGAGGGAAGAGAGAGGAGAGGTCATCGCAACTCTCCGCCGTCGTCGCAGCTCCCACCATCGTCGCAGCTCCCCTCCAGTCCTTCTTCTTCCTCCTCCGTCGCAGCCCCGCTGCAGCTCGTCGCAGCCCCGCCTCCTCCTCCAGCCCAATTTTTATGGCCCCCTCCCCTCCATTTCTCCTTCTTCCAGAGAGGGGAAGAGGAGGAGAGAGGGAGAAAGAGAGAGGAGAGGTCGTCGCAACTCTCCGCCGTCGTCGCAGCTCCCGCCGTCGTCGCAGCTCCCCTCCAGTCCTTCTTCTTCCTCCTCCGTCGCAGCCCCGCTGCAGCTCGTCGCAGCCCCGCCTCCTCCTCCAGCCCAATTTTTATGGCCCCCTCCCCTCCATTTCTCCTTCTTCCTCCTCCTTCCCCCTCCTCCCGATCTGCAGACCCACCCTTCTTCTTCTTCTCCCTTCTTTTTCTTCTTCTCTTCTTCTTCTTCATCTTCTGAAAGAAAAAAAAAAAAAAAAAAAAAAGACACCAAAACGACGTCGTTTTGGTCGTTTTGGTGTCGAACCAAATTCGAACCACGGAGTTTCAGACTACGTAGCGGGATCGATATAATTATTATAACAATATTAAAAAAGAATAAAAATGAGAACCATAACCAACCATGTTGCCAGAGTAGATGGTTTTGTTCATGGGTGTGTGCAACCACCTGGTGTAGCCTATGGGTTAATAATAGACTAGATCACAGTATCCAGAAAAGAAATAATAATGTTAACTACAAAATAAAATAAAGTAAAAAGTTGCAATTATAAAAATATAGATACTGGTCTTGTAATAGGGTGACACAGATTACCAAATACCATATATATATATATACTAAAAAAAGTAAGCATACTAATGTGTACAATTAAAAAGTTCATCGTGTGCGCTATAAAATTTACAATTAAGACAGTTGAGAGAACTTTTCCTTTTAATTATTTAAAAAAACTGGATCTATCACATAACTATTCTTATTTTTAAGTAAATGTTTTTGTAAGCATTTGCAGAAATGGAGAAAAAGTGACATATCTATACAAACTGATGTATATATTTTATATAATAGTATAGATTTATATATATCTATCTATATATGTTATATAAGTATAGATTTATATATATCTATCTATATATGTTATATAAGGAAAAATGAGTTTTAGTGAGAAGAGTTAAGAGAGTTCTAAGGGCTCAATCCAAATTTTTTGATTTTTCAATTTAAAAAAGTAATTAATAAATCACACATTAACGTTTTTTTTTAAACAAAGAATGTATTTTTTATGGGACATTTTTTTTTAAATACATTTTTACCTATTTATATTTCATTTAGTCCACATCATTTTTTTATGTTCAAATAAGTTCTATGAGTGATATAGTTACTAAAATACTATTAATAATAATATTCACACCATCGGTGTGAATGTTCATACCGTCAATGTGAATGTTCATACCGTCAATATGAATGTTAATACGCCAATGTGAATATTCACATCGTCAATGTGAATATTCACATTGTAAAATATGAATGTTCATATCACCAAATTGTTAACAGTTTAAAAAATATTTGTAAGGGTAGAAATATCCATAAAATGCTTTAAATATGAGAATTAGGATTTTGTGAATCAAATGTCCAAATAATAGGACTTATTAGAATACAATAATATCTTATAGACTAATTATGATACAAATATTTAAAAAAATGATTTTCTAATGAATCTCCCATTTTTTATTCCTAAAATCATCCTTCTTTACCATCAAATAAGGAAGGAGTTTTCCAATTAAGAAAAAATAATTAATAAATCACACACTCAAAAATATTTTATCGTAAAATATTTTTTAATAAAATATTTTAAATTTTTCACCATAAAGTATAAAATAATTTATATAATAAAATTTCGTAACATGTGTTGTTTTCCTCTCACCATGACCATTACTACTCAACGTGCATATCAAATCTTATTATTTTCATAAACAGTAAACATTAATAGGGTTTCTTTAAGGTTCAAACTATCAACTCAATTTTTTTTTAATTTTAATTTTTTTAATAATGAAAATACGAAGTGTCATTATGTGTTGCATTTTAATTAGTTCATAATTAAATTCATGAAGTTTTATATTAAACCCTTAAATTATTCTACCATAATTACCATTTCAAATTACTTCCTTAATTTACAAAATTTATTATCAAAATTGTTTCCCTAGGATTGCACTAATGCATGATTTTGATACATTCATACATACGCATATGGAAAATAATTAATTCTTTAACTTAAAATTTAAACATTATTCATTCTTCGGTAAATTACCAAGAAATCCTCTTTGAAAAAGGTGTGGCATGTTTAGTCTCACAACTTTTTGTTTATACTCAAAAGTCCTATAATGTTTTTCTTTTTCTCTGCCTTTGTTCTTCTCTACCTCTTTCTCTTTCTGATTTCCGGTAATCGTCGATGGGCAACCATGTCTTACTTCTTCTCTTTCTCTTTCTGATATATAGTCACCAGCGACCGACAACTACCATCGATTGGGGTTCACCGACAACTCCGACTACCGACTCATTACTTCACTCTCACCGACAGTGAAGAAGATACGTTTCCGATGAAGAAGATGAGTGCATCAGATCTAAGTAGATCTTCATCAAAACTAGCTAGATCTAAACAAAAAATAGTTGTCGGAGTACGATTCACTTTGCTTGGTTCCCATTTTTTAAAAACAGTTTTCAGAAAATTCTACACTCTTATTTTCCGTGTTTTTTTGTTTTTACTGAATTTTTTTAATATTTTATGCAAATTTTTTACTTTTTAGACACACCTAACATAAATACATCTTCAAATGCCATCAAGGACATCATGATATACAACATTTTTTGTGTAATTTGATGGTTGGTCAACCTTATTAACAATCAATATCTTCAAGCCTGCTGGTGTGGTAACACGCGATAAGGCAACATATAACTGACCATGGGAGAATACTGGATTAGGAAGGTATATGCCAACTTTTTTTAAAGTTTGACCTTGACTTTTGTTTATGGTCATTGCAAATGCTAATTTTATGGGAAATTGTCTTCTTTTAATCGGGACAGGTGAATGTGTGGTAGATGGTGATAAAATGATACGTGAAATGAAGACTCATTCCCCAATATTCAAACCCATAATCACTTGTGCCTCAATCACTTTATCTCCCATTTTCTCAACAATAAGACGGGTGCCATTGCATAGACCTTGAGATTGATTGAGATTTCTCAATAGCATTATAGGCGCTCTCTTTTTGAGTTCAAGACAATGACTTGGAATTCCTGGAAAATTTAATAAGTGCAATAACTCTAGTGGATGCATGCTTTCGTCAATGTTCTCACCCATAGCTGGACATATCATATTTGCACTTAGGTATTTTCGAGATTCTGCAGGCAACATTGATAGCATTATGACATTTAGTTCATCAATATCAGCATTTTTTGGTGCTAAGACGCCATGTTCTTTCAAGTAAGAACTATCACTGTATCTAGTACTTAATTTGGATAGATTGCATAAATCAAATCATGTAAAGCATGTGATCCATTTCTAATCAAGAATTGTTCTGGAATTTCAATCCAAATAGTCTCCCCGCCTTCAGTGAAAGAAATTCCAGGTATTTTTCCATCACCAATCATCAATATCTAGTTAGCAAAATACCTTAGTTGTTGATGCATTTGAATAGAAGTATCATGGGCCATAATACGCATTTTGGTCCTCAAATGGAACACGCGACAATGATTCCAAGTAGTCAATTCCTTCAACGATGCTGCAATTGTGGCTTCTCGCTTACCTTTTGGTACTACAGGTAAAATTTGTCTGAAGTCACCACCAAGTATGAATACTTTGCTTGGTTCCCATTTTTTAAAAACAGTTTTCAGAAAATTCTACACTCTTATTTTCCGTGTTTTTTTGTTTTTACTGAATTTTTTTAATATTTTATGCAAATTTTTTACTTTTTAGACACACCTAACATAAATACACCTAAAAAGTAAAAAAATTGTAAAAACAAATCTTTTAAAAATTCACTAAATACCAAAAATACAAAAAAATACAAGAATTTAGTACATTTTTTGTATTTTTATGTATTTCTTAATTTTTTAAAATATTTTTTCACAATTTTTTTACTTTTTAGACACATCTAAGTAAGGTGCATCTAAAAAAGTAAAAAAAATGTTTAAAATTTTAAAAATATTCACTAAAAACAAAAAAAACACGAAAATCAAAAAACTCAGTTTTTAAAAAACTTAATCCAGAAAACTCAAACCAAACACAGTGATTATTTCTCTATATCTGTCTTTCTCCTTCAATCTTTTAATTTTTCTACATTTTCTCTGCTATACATTTCTCTTTTCTTGTTTTAATGGAGAAAATTTTCAAGTTCTGAATAAGTTGTTTTCGAGTTTTAGTTACAAACGGTGAAAACTGTAAAATTTTATAGTTTCAATTTTTTTGGTACTGGAATGAATCATGGTTTAAAATTGTAAAATTTTGCAGTTTCATAACATTTTTTAGAACTATCAAATTTTACAGCTTCATAACATATTTTTTAATTTGATCAATAAGAATAAATGCTTAATAGATTTTTGTTTTGAAACTGTAACATTTTACAGTTTCAAAACTTACTTTTCAGTGTGATCAATATTGGAGATTATTTACTTAAACCCTACAAAAATTGAAAAATAACAATGTTTTTTTTCCCATTGTTGCTATTTTTTGTCGTTATACATTTTTATCCTTTTAGTTTATCAATATTTAGCACATTTTGCTATGTTTTTTTCTATAATTTCTCCATTTATTCTTTTTTTTTGGACAATATTCTGGACATTCTGGTGAGTCACCAACAATGTTTTTAATGTCCAACGAACGTTCTGGACATTTCAGCGACTTCCATTGACGTTCAGAACACTTCGGTGAACTTCCGGCGATACTCTAGCGATTTCTTGGTGATATTGAACATTCCGGCGAGTCTCCGGTAACTGTCTAACGGAAGTCCGACGATAGTGAGATGTAGCAGAGTCTGCAATTTTTTTTTTTTTAAAAAAAGAATCTTTTGGTAATAATTAAAAATATATAGGACTAATTGGCGCAAGTATTTTGTTTTGGGATTAGATGAGTTTTGAATTTTGTATATAGGACTTATTGGTAAGTTCCCCTTGATTCTTTAACATGACATGAGTTTCTCTCTAGTCCTTCATCGGATTGGAGAGGTGTTGCTGGGCCTTGTGGGCTCATTTTTTAGCCTCATTTTGATAATATAAACCATTCATATTTTTAGGATTCATCAAGTATATCATCCCTGTAAATAATCAAGTCGATCAGATAACGGTAACCATGTATTTGTATCAATTTTGTATGGGAAAAAAAAACGGATGGTGGGAAAATAAACAATTTATACAAAATTGATCAAACATGTGATTTCCATATCTGATCGACTTGATTTTTTGCAGGGATGATGTACTCAACGAATCCTAAATTGTGAACAGCTCGAATCATCAAAACGGGATCTAAAATTTGGCCCATTGAATGTTTAATCCAATATTAGAACCCCCAAACTAGCTTATATCGGTTACAAATCGATAAATTATGATATAATTTATACATAATGTTTGAATTTATTATTATCAAATATTTTTAGTAAGATTAAAGGTAAAATATGACATAATTTAGGACAACTCTATCTTAGATAAAATTTTAATATATGAATATATGTAACTATTTATTTCGTAATGTTAACATAAATATATAATTTTTTTTACCTAAGTTCAAGTTTTTTAATAGATATGCATAAAATATGTTCATATTTCTTATTTAAAAAATAAAAAATTCTTAAAAATATTTATTTACCAATTTAATAAATAAATAATTATGTCAAATGATTCTTAGGCATAGATCAAGGCAATTTTTAATGATTACATGAAGGTCATGTTGGCATAAATATATAAGTTCACTACAACAAAAAATATTTTTGGCGACGCTTTTTAGCAACCAAACTGAAATTAGTCGCCAATTTTACATAATCGGCGACAATATAATTGTTTGTCGCCAAAAGTACACAATTGGCGACGAGTTAATATTTTTAGTCGCCAAAAGGTTTGGCGCCAACTTAATTTTTTGGGCGGGAGCGCCAAAAATATTTTCGCGACCAAATGAACATATAGCAACGAAATTTTGGTTGCCGATTGTAAAGTTTTGGCGACGGAAATGAAATAATCGCGGAAAAGATGAACGCTACTTATGGCGACAGAAGAATTTTTGTCGCCAATAAATTAGCAAACGAAACTACGTCGTTTTGCATTTTTCAAATTTTTTTTTTAAAAGACTAGACCGACCCTTTTACTGAATAAACACACCCAAGCCTCATCTCTTTGTATTCAGAGGAAAACGAGAAGAGAGGGAGAAGATAGAGGATTCAAAAGGGAAGGGAAGGGTAGGATTTCAATCTCTCTCTCTGTGCACACTTCGACGGTACGGCGAAACTAATTCGGCAGCGGTGACAATCAACGGTACACACTCATCTATTCTCTTCTCTTCTCATTCAACATCCAAATAGTAGACTTCAAGAGTCCAAATAGCATACCCAAACGATTGTCAAGCATGAGCTAGGTAGCGAATGGCGAGAACGGTAGAGGTGTTTGGCGTAGATGAGGCAGGGAGGGGCGTGGCCGTGGGTTTGTTAGGCGTGGATTTCACCCTCTCTCTCTTTCTCTCTGTGTGTGTGTGTGTGTGTCTCTGTCTTCCTCTCTATGTCTCCTTCGATTTGGGGCTAATTATTTTCTTCATTTTGCTCACTATTTGAAGAAAATTAAAGAAAATTTCAGCTTCTTATTTTTTCTGTTGGCAAATTGTGCTTGTCTCTCTTTGCCCTATAAATTGCAATTTCTATGCCCTAATTGATTTTTTTTTTCTTGCCAAGTGCCTTTTTAGAATTTTTTTTAGGGGTGTTGTTGTGATGTCTGGTTTCTCTCATTAAAGTTCAAATCCCATTTTTCTCGTCTGCCAAATGTTCGATAAAATGCATCAATGATGGCCTACTGTGATTTTGTTTATTAGATCCTTTTTTTTTTTTGACTTTTGGATCTTTGAGAATATAATTTAGGAAAATTTTGGACTCAAATACAATTTAGGAGAATATAATTTAGTTTTCTTGGTGGGTTTGTTTTTTGTGTTTATCTACAAATTGAAGTTGTGGAAGTATGTATATATAGTAAATTTAGGATCTTTAATTAATCATTTTTTAGTATTTGTCACTCCATGTATTTCAGTTATAGTGTTTTCAGTGAGAGTCTGTAATTGTACATGAATTATTTGAAATACTACAATTATTTGATTTTCAGGAACACTCAGTCGCTGCTTTCACCCGTGTTCTTGATGAGGCCAGTGTTGTTCTTCTCTTCAGAGACAAAGTCTATCTTCATCCCGATAAGGTACGTACACATATATATAAATAATAGTTTTCTTGTTAGAAGAAGATTCTTATAAATTGATTTATGTGGGACTAGTGATTTGTGCTTGTGTTAGAATATAACTAACAATTTTGTTGATGAAATTTGTGTGTGTTTATTAGTCACAAAAGTTTTGTGTATCTCATTATGGCTAATATGTATATTTTGCGTTGCCAAAAATCACATGTTATTTTTGTTTTATTATTCTTTGTGGTCTTTGTGTGTACACTACATGGGGAATGAGTTTACCTCTGATTGCGGAGATGAAGGTTTAAGTTTTATGTTTCCCTCTGTATGGTTAATGTCTAATTTTAGAGTTAAAAAGAGTCGAAAATACATTCGTTAGTTGCACATATGAGAACTAAGCAACTGTTTCTCTACAGAGAACAGTTCCAAAACCTCTGATTTTGCAGCAAGGGATTGAGGATAAAATATATGGACACAGTCACCAATCAAATCAGCACTAAGTGGCCCACATATAAGAGGGTTGATCTTGACTATATGGTCATCGTGAACATAAACCGACAAAGCTTGCAGGGAATGTTTATACGTTGTGGAGGTCTATTGATGAAAACAATATCCCCATCCATTATCCGTCGATGTACCACTTGACCAGGTCTTAAAAAAGTATGCCCCTTCGAACCTTCCCTCAGCGAGTAGGTTGACAAACCATCCTATAGGTTAAACACAACTTTTCATCAACTAGCTTCTGCAGATACTGATGTTATATTGAGTAACTCTCTCCTCAAATGTTATCCGTTGAGCAATTTCAAAAGGCAGTCCATCTCATTGACTCCTTTATATGCATCACCTGTAATAACACTCCGTGAGGAGAATCCACAACCCTTTCTGATAAATAGGGTTTTCATCTTCTCAAGCCATGCTTTAGTAGTAGAATCTTTTGCTCTTTGTTAATCCCAAATCGTGTATCCATGTCACGAGATGCCTTGTAGAAGAAATATGCACGGAAAGACAAGAAAACAACAGTTGTTCATGAACATTTGCACAATTTAATTGCCAAAGGTTTGACTAGATTATCAATCATATTCTCAATAAAGAAACAAATGTCACCCAAGTAAATAGTAAACCAGCATGGTGAATAAACAAATAATTATCAATATTAAAAGATGAGGGTCCAAAAGAAAAAAGGTCTGAGGCAAATAGCAGCACTCTAAATTGTTTCCTTGGTGTCTAATATTTGTCTATTTCCATCTAATTTGTAGGTATATACAAGTGGGGAATGCAGTTGCATTTCT